TTTATTAAAGTGCAATTCAAAAAAGATTTTTGAAATGCAGTTTATTAAAGTGCAATTCGAAAATGTTTTTTGAAATGAAGACTTAAAAAGCATTTTAAAAATCAGTTTATTAAATTGGAATTCAAAAATGAATTTACAAATGCACATTTTATTCTACAATTCATTATTTAAGCACAGAATTTTTTATTTCTTGTGGTCCTCCATACTTTTGTGCATAATTTTATATTGTTAATAATAAATTAATTAAATCAACAAAACAACCTGAAGAGCCGGTTAGGAGCCGAAAGAGCCGGTTCTCTAAAAAGAGCCGGAAATCCCATCACTAATATTCCGTATTTATAGGGTTGCACCAAAGAAGAAGAATAAGTATAAGGAGGGGCTCTAACTGCTAATGAACATAACTACAGGCCTGGAGGTCCCCCACATTTTTGCACAAGTCGAGGAGCGTGTCAGGTTACATTTCACTGTGCGTTATACTTGTATAACTATGCATGTGACAAATAAAGAACCTTGAACCTTGAAGTAAAGAAATACTACACCATACTGCATATTTAAACAAGGAAAGTTTATTGATCAAAATTATTTATTAAACAAATATACAACATTTTTTTTCACCCCCCAAAAAATACATGTTCAAAGCAACACAACGGTGGCCCACTATCAAACAGAACTCCACTCTGTAGAGTGGGCAATCATAATGAAGCAGTTCGTTTTATTTTGTAGATTCAAGATTCTCTTCATATTTTTGGCCACCAGATGTCACCAGAGAGGACTGTGTTGAAAAGCTTTGAGTAATGAACCGTTTTTAAGTGTGCCTATGCCAAGAGGCACACTTATTACTATTCGTCGGATTTATTATTAAGTGTGCCTATGCCAAGAGGCACACTTATTACTATTCGTCGGATTTATTATTCTTCATATTATTATTATTATTAAGTGTGCCTATGCCAAGAGGCACACTTATTACTATTCGTCGGATTTATTGTGTGGATGCTTCAAGGGGCATCCACACTATTGAGTTCCTGTTTCTCTTTATTCTTTATTATTCTGGTTGCCTCCGTACGTTTTTCGCCACTTAACTACTCCCACAACTTTTGTCCAATTTTTACCATTCAAATTTTAAACTATTCAGCTATTTCTGCTAACGATTGCTATGACTTTTGGTATTTTCTGCTATTATACTTTTAAAAAATTACACTTTTTTCCTTTAATTTGTCCCATTGAAATGAATGGAAAACTTCCACAATTCTGCTAAAACTTGCTTGTTGTTGAAACTTAACTACTTCCTCATACTTTCACTTAGAACAACCATTAAAACTTTAAAATGTTCTCAGATTATTGGGTTATTCCTGTATGATTCAGCTTTTTCAGATCTTTAATCTTATGCCTCTTTAAGTTTTTTTCAGTTGCAAAATTTTGATTTTTCAGAAAATACATGCGTTGTTATGGTTGCTATGCAATTAACTCAGAGTGGACAGTGAAACTTTGTGAATTTTCTCTTCATGTCCAAACAACTTCTTGCTACTCGCTCAATTTCCACTCAACCCCCACAAATTATACATCAAAACGTAGGTATTTTTGCTGGCTTTCAGAAAATGTTTGTCGTTGTTGTGGGACTTATAGATTTTTTGCAAATCTCCTCAGAGCAACACAAAGTCTGAAAACTCTCCATAGAAAGTCAATGGAGAGTTTGTTCAAAATCACCGCTGGATTTCTCTAATGAGAGGCATTTTCAAATTGTCATATCTCCTTAATGAAACAAAGTTGAGACATGAGGCTTGTGCCAATATATCTTCAGACACTCCAGATGCTCACAATTCAAGAAGTTTTTTTATCCCCTATTACCGTTCTGAGATGAGTTACACTTGATTGAGGGTAGGAAATTCGTTCTTCGCTCAGATTTCATCAGATTTAAAACTCTGGAAATGAGGCACTTTTTTCTCTCGTCATATCTTTTTGATGGATTGCAACAGAGCCCTGAAAATTTCCATGCGTGTTCACCAAAGCCCGCTGTTTCTTACGGTGAAAGAATGATTTTGATGCTCCATAGAGATTTAGAGTTACATAACGTTGTTTGAGGGCAAGTCAAGGCAGTTTTTGCTTTGCCTCTACTGCAGTTACAGTGTGTTACAAGTCATATCTTTAATAATTTATATTTTATCTCTGAATTATGAAGACCTGAAGATTCCCCCATCTCTTTTGAACAAAG